TCAGAAAGGCACCTAGAGATATTTAGGGTAGGAATACTATGTTGTCTGGAATTAAAATACTTTAGAAAAAAATAGTTGAAACAAATTGGGCAGAATGTTAACAATCATGAACTCTAGGTGATGACAATATGGTAGGGGGATCATCGTTGTATTATTTTTATCTTTATGTATGTTTGTAAATTTTATTTAATAAAAAGCTAAAAAATAAAACTGAAACAATGAAACATCAGTTAGGTGACTCTTTGAGTTCCTCTCCCTTCCTGCCCTTGAAGGTTGGGAGCTGGCAAGAACTGGAGCAGCTGCCTTGCTCCTCTAAGTGGAAGGCACAAGTTGAAGTTGGCAGAGTGGTGTCAGCTCTGGAGTGCCTGCCTGCCAGCACTGGACCACCTACCCTCATCCAGGGAGAAATAATTATTATAATTAAGCCGTTGGAAAAAAATTAATTTTAAGTCATGTAAATTTGCTTGATGTGTCCAGAAGTGATAGACACACTCTGAACCTCTAAAGTCCCACTCTCCCCTCCCACCCCTTTGAGACTAAATCTTAGACCCTATGGAACTTGCAAAAATAGGGACCCATGGCACAACTCACTGGGATATTTGGAATGTTGTTAATTCCTGATAAAAGTTGCCAAAGAGTTTCTTTGATTTATCTCACTAATGATCAAATGACCTGCCTCTATGTAGGTGGCTTATAAAATAGAAATGAAGCTACCCTGAGGACTCAGAATCAGTATGTAAAACTTTATGTACATATCCCTTCCAAATATAGTACACCAATACTGAAGAGGGAGGAAGTTATCATAGACAGAAGTACCCGAATATGAGAAAGCTGTTTCTAAAATTCAGGGATAAAATAAATGCGTAAAATATCTTCTTGATAGGATCTTGATTGGCAAAAGTTTTTAGGCATGGTTTCTGCTCTGTGGCAAAAATAATAAAGATTTAATTTGTTTGAGATTGTTTCCCAGACTATTATTAAAGGATCACTTACATGATGCTATAAAAATTTTATATTTCAAGAAGTGTTTGATGTGTCAAAGACATGTAGTAATGTTAATACTGTCCAACCCTCTAACCCACTTCTCATCTTTAATGTTGAGTTTCTTCATCGGTCCTTGTGGGGAATAATCTTGTAGGCAATGATGGTTCATTAATGCAAACAAACCGATTGCAGGAAGAGTTAGGCTTCCCATCAAAAACCAAGCTATGATCAGAGACTAAAAAAACAGTGATTAAAACCTGAGGAAGACCCATTCCTGGACAGAAGAGTTAAGTGGGTAAGTCTCATATTCATCCCTTCCCAGCCTCATTTCACCATCCATCCATTTCACACAGTCCACTCCATAGAGTGGACTCTGAATACCTTCCCCAAGTACTGCTACAGTCAGCTTCCTGGCCCAAGGCATAAACCTGTTGTGGCATTCACCTGTTGTGATATTTTGGTACCAACATGGCATCATTTGGGACTTTCTAAACCTCTCCTTTCTCCCCTAAAACATTCTATAATCCAAAATATGACCGCTGTAGAACTTCCTCAGAATACTTATGGACACAAGTAGTTTATATAAACAAAGTCAGAATTCTAAAGTTACAGTGGTAAAATCCCATGGGCATAAGATGACTCAGGGTCTCCCATTTGAGACTTTTTGTTCAGTTTTACTTCTATCTACTCACTAAACAATTTGTCTTCAGTAGAATTGAGGCTGTAGAGGGGATTGGGAGCAGGTTATAGGGAAAAGTCAAATCAGAAGTGGGAAAGGAGGAGGGGAGAGTATTTTACACTGAAAATAAACTTATATATTTCATAAAAGGGAACCTGAGAAATATTGCATTGTCTCTGATCAAAAGTAATGTTAACAGAAATGTCTAGACCATTCACGTGTGTTTGTTTCTATTTTAGTTAAATGATAAATTTACTTATTTGCAATTACTCTCTACTGTCTGACCGCCATTTTACAATAATTAACTATAAGAAATAATTATAACTATAAGAAATAACTATAAGAAATAATTGTATCTATTTTACTTATCTGTCTTTGGTTCTCTCTGAAAGTGAACACCATGGAATGCCTGGGTGGCTCAGCGGTTGGGCGCCTGCGTTCAGCTCAGGTCGTGAATCCGGGATCCGGGATTGAGTCCCGCACTGTGCTCCCTGCGAGGAGCCTGCTTCTCCCTCTGCCTATGTCTCTCTCTCTCTCTCTCTCTCTCTCAGTCTGTGTCTCTAATGAATAAATTAATTAATTAAAAAAAAAGAAAGTGAATACCAAATTTATAGGAAAAAAACCCAGGAACAGACACATGAGCTGATATAGTAGTACATACAGTACTGCTAGCTGTCTCCAGATTTTCTTTTTTTTTTTTTTGTCTCCAGATTTTCATTCATTCCTTCTTTTGTGGTGAGATTTCAGGCCAGAAATTGTCCAATATAGATTTTGGCAATGTAGGCTTGTAGCTCTCCTAATAAATCAGAGTGTCTTACACTCAATGGTGCCAAGTATTTTCTTAATCCACTTATATCTGTAGTTGCTAAAAGTTTAGCTTCATATCTTGGGACGATGTTAACAGGTCCATGAAGAGAAAAATAACAATGAATTTTTCATGAAGTTAATTTCATTTATTTTAAAAGACTGTCCTTTTTTTATAATGGTTGTCCTTTCCTTGTTTTTAATGTTGAAATAAATCCTTATTTTTATAAAACAATGGTGATAGTAGATGGTAATTGTTTTAACGTGTGTTTAATGTTTTTAATTTAACAAAACTAAAAGATGGCAACCTTTGTTTCTTTAGTCATTTTTTTCTACTGGAGGAAGATAGATTTTATTTCTACTGGGAATCCAAAAGCCTAAGACTTGCTGCTCTATAGCCCGCTATCTGACTCAAATGATGTTTTCCGGGAGGTAACTGAATCAGAGTACAGCTAGGAGAGAAAAGATTGAATTTCAAAGATGCTTTTCAAGTTGAAAACTACTTGATACTTTTTTTTTTTTTAACTGAGAAGATGTTTTTGGATTGAAAAGACCAGAACTTCTGAGAAAACTTAGAAAGCATTTCTTCATGTCTTCTGGGCTCCTCACTGTGATTTCAAAATAATCATTTTCAGATTAATAAACTAGAATCTGCCTTGGAGTTATCAGGTTTTTCTTTGTTAGGAAATCTAAAGTTAGCTAGAACCCAGCTGCAGAACATATGACAGAAGTAGGAGGGAAATGTGAAGCAATGCTTAATCATTTCGTTATGTGCAATTAATCATATATTCAAGCTTCTTGAAAGCAGAAGCCTAGGATGATGGTGTCTGCAAGAAAAAAAAAGTGTAATTAAATTTCCCTCAGTTTTTTAACCTTCAGTAAAATTTCATTATTGCATAAAATTTTATTGTTGTTCTTTACAATTACTTGTTTTCTCTCCATTTCCCCTCACCGTGGGAATCTTTAGTTTGAAGTCCTGGTAATGGTTTAACCTATCAAATGAAAAAAAAAAAGTTATTTTTAAGGAGAGAAAAGAGTCTCTCTCTCTCTCTCTCTCTCTCTCTCTCTTTTAAGAGAGAGAGGGAGGGAATTGAGGGCCTAGGGTTGGCTAGGAAGAGAGAGGGAGAGAGAGAATACCAAGCAGACTCCATGCCAGCCCCAGCCACCCTGGGCTCATCTCAAGAATCTGAGATCATGAGGGATCCCTGGGTGGCTCAGTGGTTTAGTGCCTGCCTTTGGCCCAAGGCGTGATCCTGGAGTCCCGGGATCGAGTCCCACATCGGGCTCCCTGCATGGAGCCTGTTTCTCTCTCTCTGTCTCTCATGAATGAATAAATAAAATCTTAAATAAAAATTAAAAAAAAAAAAAGAATCTGAGATCATGACCTGAGCTAAAATCAAGTGCAGGGCGCTTAACCGGCTGAACCACCCAGGCGCTCAAGAATGGTGTCTTGTATAAACACACACACACGTGTGGATATGGGTTAAGCTCCCATATCAATCAGTATTTTTGTAGAAAAGCACTTCTAGGCACTTTAAGAATGAAATTTCAGTATAAATGTCAATACCAACCTGTAAGTCTTCAAAGGTACTTTTTGGAGAACAACCCATTTTTGTGTTTTATGATCACAGTTCAAACATTCCTTGACCTAATCAATTCATAGGTATCTTTTTTTTTTTAATCGTTTTCTTGCTTTTTGTCAGGATTTCTTTTTTTTTTTTCTTTTTTTCTTTTTTTTTAATTCTTGCCATCGCCTCTCCAGCCTCTAGCCTGGGTCCCCTTATCTAGTGAACGCACTCTCTGGCCCCAGTTCCAGCGGCCGCGACTTCCGGGATCCCGGGCTCGGCTCCGGGCACGGTCCCCTCGCGGCCAGTCCCCCCGCCCCGCCCCGCCCCCGCCCCCGCCGCCCCAGCCAGGGCGCGCGCTCCCGGGACGCGGCTGCGAGGGGCCGGCGCTGTGCGGCCGCCGCGCTCCGAGCGGGGCTCGGCCGGGAGCCCGGGGCGGGCGGTAGGCGGACGGCACCTCGCGGGGGCTCGGAGCGGAGAGCCCCAGCCCCAGAGCCTTCGGAGGGCACCTGCGGCCGGGCAGGAGGCGGCGGCTCCCGGCGGGCGCGGGGCTCACCTGGGAGCAGGGCGCGGGGCGGGGCGGGGGCGGGGCTCGCACCCGAGCGCCCGCCGGACCCGGGGCATCCCCGACCGAGGCGTGGCCCGACCGCCGGCGCGGTCCTGGCGGGTTAAGGGGCGAAGCGGCTGCGTTTCCCCGCCGTCGCCACCCCGGCTTCTCCAGGCTCGAGCCCAGCCTCCCCAGTTGCCGCCGCGGGAGAGCCTCCCCGAGAAGAAGAGCATCTGCCCGCGGCCGTCGTTCTCCTAGGGGCGGTGGCATCTGTCCCGCGCCTGCGAGGCCTGCGAGCGGAGGGCCCGAGGACCCCGCGGGGCGCCGTCGGGGCTGGCGAGGCGGGGCGGGGCGGCGCGGCGCGGGGCGGGGCGGGGCGGGGCTCCGAGGCCCCGAGGCCCCTGCAGAGGCCCCTGCGGAGGCCCGCGTTGGTTCCGCGCGCTGTCCCGCACCCGCCAGGTGACCCAAGCCTTCCCCCGGCGCCCGTCGGGGCCACTTCTCCTGTGCACACTCGCGAGGATCACCGTCTCAAGGTCACCGTCTCCCTCCCGGAAAGGCGGGCGCGAGCTGCAGGTGCCAGCCCGTAGCGCCGGGCCCGCGGGCTCTGCCGAGGCTGCACCCTCCGCCCCGGGGCCCCATGCTCCCGTCGTGGTTAGCAGGACTAGCGGCTGCCGTCGTCTTCCTGCATGTGTTGCAGAAACTCGCGTTCCCTTACTTCTGGGCCGATCTCTGGTACCTGCTGAAAGTGGTACGCTATGGAATCCGGTTGAGGATGTACGAACAGAGAGGGGAGCTGTTCACTGTCCTGGATAGATTCCTGAGTCTTGCCAAGAAGCAGCCCCAGAAACCCTTCATCATCTATGAGGGACACGTCCACACCTATCAGGATGTGGACAAGAGGACGAACAGAGTGGCCCACGTCTTCCTGAACCATTCCACACTGGAAAGGGGGGACACCGTGGCTCTGCTGATGAGCAACGAGCCCGACTTCGTCCACGTGTGGTTCGGCCTGGCCAAGCTGGGCTGTGTGGTGGCCTTCCTCAACTCCAACATTCGCTCCACCTCCCTTCTGCACTGTATCCGCAGCTGTGAGCCCAAGGCCGTGGTGGTAGGCGCAGGTAAGGTACCAGGGGTGAGAGCTGCTGGTGCAGAATGGCAGCCCTGCCTGGCACCGCTCCCCGGCCCTTTTTTTGTTACAACGGCTCACAAATGATACTTGGGGTGTGTGTGATGAAGTGTGCATAGCAAGGATACAAAATAGTGTGACAGTTCTGTGACTGGTGGTTTAATACCTCCTCTTTCATTCCGATGACTTATGGTGTTGTAGAGTGGTAAATACCAAGACAGGTTCAGAAGACTTTTCTGAAATCTCTGCTGCTTACTGTTTAGGGAGAGGGGGCAGTTTTACTGGTATTGATACTTCAGTGAATGCAAGAACAAAGAGAGAGAGAACTTCGTAAGTTTTAAACTTTGTCCAATCTGACAAAATTCTTTGATGGGTGGGAGAGTTATCTTGGTTTCAATGTGGACTACCTGCCGACCTCTAATAGTAACACTATCAAGGTTGACTACGTTTGGAAAACGAATATGTTTAATCTGAATTGCATGAATTCTTATCTTCATGTCTGCTCTTATTTTTCACTGCCTGCAAGCTAGGATTTGTCTAGCAAGGTTAAGCTCCCATCTCCCAGCCAGTGGGCGGGCTGTTGGCAGACTCTAGGCTCTTTCTCTCTTACTCCAGCCCCATCTGTCATCTTTTTTTTTTTTTTCTTTCAGTAGATTTTTAGTGTTCTCCTTGTCCCTTGGAATTAGGCTTTGGATACACATATTGACACAGAATTACAAAGAAAAGATTTTGGTTGAATACCTAATAAACAAAGAACCTAGGAAGATGGGTCTCACAACCGGGTAGATTTGAAGTATAACAAATGATACTTACTTGGTATAATCAAATGGATTTAAGCATATTTTTCTTGAATGAGGACAGGCAGGTGGAAGATGAGAAGGATCCATAGCAAAGACCTTAGTCAAAGTTTTTAAGTATTTTGGACTAATAGATACATACTGACACCTCATATAGAGGTTTTAGATTCATAGAACATTATGGAAAAGCTACCTACATTTATACATTAGTGATAACTAAAGTGTAGAACTTTCAAGTAACCTTTATCATATTTGCATATCGCACAATAATGAGTTAAGTGATATATAGTACAAAGGTTAATTATTCAAGTCTTTCATTTCTGTTCGTTCCCATTGTCCTTCCAGTTCAACTTCACACACAGCTTGCAAAATATTTACTCTCAAGCACTGATTTCATCTTGTTTAATCTAAAGGAGTAGAGAACCTGAAGAATCCCTTGTCTACTTTTTCTTCATTTCTTTTTCATTCAGTAGTTATATCCTCCAAGATTGAAACTGAATCCCTCACCTTGGGAAGAGGTTAAGTAGTATGGTGAACTTTATCTGAACTCTAATAGTAAGTAGGATAAATGAGTCACACAGAACTTTAACATCATGGTGAGCAGGGGCAAGTGATAAATGTGAATGCAGCAATACAAAATATCATTTATCTCTGGATATATTCAAACATTTTATTCCACTTCCCATAGTATTGCTTGATCTAATTTAGATAGCAGTTTCTAGAGCAAATTGAAATTAAGATGAACTGTTGAAAATTGATAAAACCATGAATTCCTTTCATAAGAGCAAAATAAGAGGGCCGGAGTACCCCAGAAAAGATTTCTGTGGCCATGTTTTTAATGCCAACCTGAGAAATATCCTATAGCCAGTCTCCTGAGGAATTCCTCTCAAAGTGTATGGGCCTGGTTACCTCTTAGCATAGAACAGTAGTCAAACTCTGCTCTTGACTGAGTGGTTGCCTAATTATGACCAATTAATTTTGCAATTTTACTTGTGCCAAAGTTTTGCTTTGCTTGCCAATAACTAAGTTGCATTGTTTCCTTGTTTTTCATTTTCACACCAACAGTGAGTTTTCATATATATGAAAGCCTATTGGAGTTTTAAGCCAAAAACATTTAGTCAATTTGCTTAGTAATAGAAAGGTGGAGAAATCAACCTTAATTCTTATTCACAGTTCTTTTTAGCTATCTTTAGAATATATAAATTACATATGTTTTTCAAAGATGGGACAATACTATTTCATTTAATTACTAGATTTTTTTTGGTAAGATGTCTTACATCACAGGCACTTTTCTATATTTGAAGCTCTTAACCTGAAATACTGTATTCTTGACATCTTGAGTCAAATTAGTGAACAATACATACATATGGTTTTTAGAGCTTTACATTTTAGAGATCTTAGAGTCTAATGGAATGTTTCTGATGGAGATGTATCATTAAACCATTATATCCCCAGGGAAAGTGTATGGATATAGAAAGAGCAGTCAAATGGTTTAGACGGAGATAAGCCAGATAGATTTGGATTTCATTTATGGTCTGCCACTTCTTACCTGTATAATTGAGGAAAAGACCATCAGCTGCCCTGGGTCTCATTTTACTTGGTCATATAATGGTGATAACACCAATCTACTTCTCAGTGTAATTCTGAGATTAAATGTGTAGCTTTTGTAGAGTGACTAGCTGAGTGCCTGGTACGTACTAAATAGAGCTGTAATGAATTGAAATAATTGCTATTATTATTATTACAAAGTCATCTGAGGCTTTTAATAAGGAAATTTCTTTGGATTTTGCTGCTACAATCTAATTTGGTGTTAGCTATAAGAAAAGCTGGTAAGGAGTTTGGAATAGGACCTCAAACACCTTACTCTGGTATGTTTTAACATTCTATTTTCCAGAAGTTTTATAGAACCGATTTCAAACAGGTTTTACACGATGGACAGATAACATCTTTTTTTTTTTTAAGATTTTCCTTATTTATTTATTTAGAGAGAAAGCATGAGCAGGGAGAGGGCCAGAGGGAGAAAGAGAATCTCAAGCAGACTCCCCTCTGAGGGTGAAGCCCAAAGTGGGGCTCCATCTCAGGACCTGAGATCATGACCTGAGGTGAAATCAAGAGTCAGCCACTTGGGGTCACTTGGGTGGCACAGTCGGTTAAGCGTCCAACTCTTGGTTTCAGCTCGGAGGTAATCTCAGGGTCATGGGATCAAGTCCCACGTCCAGGCTCTGCACTCAGTACAGAGTTTTCTTGAGATTCTTTCTCCCTCTCCCTTTATTCCTCCTACTCATGCTCTTTCTCTCTCAAATAAATAAATTAATCTTAAAAAAAAATAGAGTTGGATACTTAACCAACTAAGCCACCCAGGAGCCCCCAGAATAATGTCTTATAATTCTGTCTTCAGGAACAAGTCAAAGGAAAAAATGCCAACTAATCTGCCAGACAAATTATTGATATTAACAAAAATACTGACAGTTGCTTTTACTCAAGGCTGATTATGTATAAGATACTCCCAGTGATTCCAAGAGGCAGATACAGAGCTCTATATTGGAAACAGAGGAAAAGAAGTTCCCTGAGGATGTCTAGTTTGACACAACTTCGTTTGTAGAGCAAAGATTGAAAACCTGGTCTCTGATATAAGACTGTGCTGTACTATATAGCCCAATTGTTTCTGAGGCTGTCAGTCCCCTTTTGATGTAACTATGAAAATATGTTTTCCAGGTATATAGAACAGTAAAATAAAGGTTTTCAATATTAAGACATCAGGTTTTTCATACCTAGAAAAAAATTTTAAATATTTTTAAAACTCTTACTCCTTTCTCTTACAATCTGAATATTCAAAAATACTTGCCAGGAAGTTTACGACCTGTATAGTGTGATTTTGAATGTCAAATGGCATTTCAGATTTCCCTGGAAATTTTCAGTACTTATGGAAAATGAAATAATAGTCCTAGATTAGGGATGCCTGGGTGGCTCAGTAGTTAAGCATCTGCCTTTGGCTCACGGCGTGATCCTGGGGTCCCGGGATCAAGTTCTACATCGGGCTCCCCAAAGGGAGCCTGCTTCTCCCTCTGCCTATGTCTCTATCTCTCTCTTTGTGTTTCTTATGAATAAATAAAATCTTAAAAAAAATAGTCTTAGATTAAACCTCATCCTTTCCTCCTAATATTTCAACTTCAGTATTTCTAATAGTGCCTATGACCAAGATTACCATCTACCTCTATATGCTTTTCTCATTAGTTAGAATAAACAGAAAAATGTTGGGATGATTGTGTATCACTTTAAAAAGTCTGTGTAACTATATCCTTTGGCCTATTTAGCAATAATGATGATGGTGATGATGATGATGATGATGATAATGTCTTCCATTTCTGAAGCACTTTATGAATTACAAATTGCTTTTATGTATATTGTCTTATATGATCCTCATCACAGCCATAGCCTTGTTCTAAAGATAAGGAAAGCATGGTTTAGAGTGGGCCAGCCATCACCTCAAGCTCACACATGTAGAAAAAGCAACATGCAGACTGGAGCTGTGATTTTCTGATGTGAATGCCTGCTGGGTACACCTTTGTCTTTGTCCTTCTGCTCTTTTTTCTTCCTTCCACAACTCCATCTTTTCCTTACCTGTCCTCATTCCTTGCTGCTCCCTGCCCCCTTCCCTTCCCTGTCTGTCACCTTCCATCTATTCACTTTCTTTCAGTACCTTTTCCACCAGACCCTCCAGCCTTGGGTGTACTATGACTATTCACAGTTACACAGTGGAAAGGGAAAGTCCTAGGTGCTATTTGTGTCACTCTGAGGACTAGGCCCAGAACGGGGTTGTAAGCTCTTTGAGCGGAGGAAACTTGTTTTGTTCACTGCTAAGTTCTCAGAACTTCGCACAAAGAAGATGCTCAACAAATACTTACTGCCAGATGAATGAATGATCTCATGGAAAACTGTGAGGTACCTATGGATACTCAGTAACACCTTATTTATTTTCGTATTTTTACAAATAAATCATCCCTCTGCTGTCCATTCAGTAACTGATTTTGATAGTAGATGGATCAGTGGGATTTCTTTATTGTGTTATTTCATATTAATGTTGCTAAGTGTAAGATCGTGACTCCCCAAAAGCACCAAGCAGGGGCAGCCCGGGTGGCTCAGCGGTTTAGCGCCACCTCCAGCCCAGCGTGTGATCCTGGAGACCCGGGATCGA